TGTCTGCACTGTCTTGTCGACTCTTGTGATTTCCTTCGGGGTGATAATACTTTCCAAAATACTGATTGTCTGTGGTCTGTATGATGCATCTATAAATTTCAGGCCTCTGCATACTCTCTCCATCTTCTACTCCAAGACAAATTCAATTCAATTCAATTCTATTTTATTTATATAGCGCCAAATCACAACAAAAGTCGCCTCAAGGCGCTTCATAGATACAGAGAAAAAGGTTAGTGTTTATGAGCTGCCATGCCATTGCCTCAAAGTCTCAAAAACCCGGCATGCATCACTGTCAGAGCTTCAGTTCAGAATCGAGCCACGTCACTACCTGATCGAGGGTTCCCCTCATTTACCTAATAAGGTCTTTCTTAGTCCGAAATTTCCTTTGATCTCTTCTATTGCCACTCCTTCCTAATTCTCCCAGCTTATCCACTCCACTCTATGGAATCCTTGCTCACGTTATTGAGGCCATCGGCTACTTATCCTTGCTAGCCTGGATACCATTATCCGCAGAGGTCTTTGACCTTTGTGACGCACAGATATTACTGCTTCTAGGGAATGCCCTCTTTGAGGATCTGCAAGGACCCGCCACCAGTCCCCTTCGAGGCCTTCCCCAAACCACAGCTCAGTTCATGTTTAACTCATTTGCCTTTATCTCCTATAAATGCTGTCAAACCTTTAAATGACGATGTGGGCCCAGCTAGTAAATTTGACTTTGTGCACCATCAAGACTTTGAAGCACGTTCCCGCTCTTGGGCTGCATGCACCTGCTGACAATCACACACTTGCTGCTGATGATTGTGTCAAGAGTCAGTATTTAGAAAAGGGAGCTTAGAGAGCTTCAGTCGATGCTGGATTGTTGAATGATGACAACAATGAAACTTAAGTGATTGTCTTGTTACTTCATGAAGGAAATTTAACTGTGGTTTGATTTTTGTCCAGGAAACCCATGGAGAGTTTTGTAAAGAGCACTAAGAACTTTATAAATATCTTCAGAGAAATTGTGGAAAGTATGTTTGGGATCACCACACATGGAGCTGGGACAATAACCGCTGTAGAAATCCCAACTGTGAAAACAGTTTTTGTACCTTGTTTTTCAATGTAAATCAATTCACTGTCACTATTAAGTGACTGCGACCTGATCGTCCACCAAAGGGCATAGCCTGCACCAACATGACTAAGATGGTTTCACAGAACGCCTTGCTTTCTTGTTCTACAACATTCACAAAATTCTTTGCCCAATGGAGAATCTGTAATGTTTGTGTTTTGTTATTGCTCTTCAACCGAAGCATCATTGAAATTTTTTCAGTGGAAACCAAAAAGCGTTACTGGTTTTTCCACATCACTATCCAACTCTCTGTCATGTTTGTTAAACAACAGCAACACCCTTGTTTCTTTATGACAAACTGTGGCCTCTAACGACCTTATTGTGGTCGGGCTGCAGGGGAGGGATGGAGCAGTGGATTCAGCATTTGGTGTCAGGGGAGGCTGGCAAACACAGTTGAGATCTGTTATTTACTTGACACTATTGCTATTTTGCAATAGCTGCCGGGGCCAGAGGGGGAGAGAACAGCTGAAAATTAATGAATTGATGTTGAGTGTGTTTTGTCAAATAGGCAACTGTGATGGTGAAAGCACCCAGCTGGGAGAAAGCTTAAATAAAGGCTAACTATCAGCAACCCATACCTGAGTCATACCTGAGTCACTAGACAGGGGATGCAGATCCAGTTGAATCCCTGCTCCACTCCAACCAAATACACATGTGCTAGTGATGTTTTACTTTTGTGAATAAGTGAAATATGAGTGTCAGTACATTATCGTTCAGTTTGTGGAAATTATGTAATGTATCAACAGAAAGTGATACATTCATTGTTCTCACGTGGTATCGGATGGGCTTATTTCAACCAACAGAGGATGTTTTGCCTGATAATTATTCGTATCCATCAGTAACTGTACTGTATGAAGAGCTAAAACCTCCAAAATTTCAGGAGTAATAAGTGATAAGATGTGTTTGTAAACGAAAAACTAAACTAAAGAATGAGGGATAATGGTTGTTCACGATTTGCAAAACCCAGTGCGCACCCACGACTCAGTTTTCTTTTTTTTTCAGAAGTTTTTGCCTCTCTGTGTGAAGTGTCGAGTGAAGCTGTGGAAAGACCTGAAGCAATGTTCCAGCATGAGTCAGTTTAAAAAGTGGTTCAAAAATATGTTGTTTTTTTTTTCAAAGTACAGGGAGGAGGTAGGGCTCTGATCGGGTGTCGTCCCCCCCCCACACACACACAATTTTTCTACTAGGGATGTGTGTGTGTGTGGCGGTGCACAACTATGTTTATATAAGAATATATATCCGTAAGCGTGTATATCTTGTATATGTGACTTGCTACTGGGCTTAAAAATAAGTTTGTAAGAAAAATTGTAAGGAAGAATTAATTATGGACAGGGCATAAACAAAAAGAAAAGGTGTTTATAATAATTTATATAATAGTGGAAAAGGGGTGGGTTAAATAAGTTAATAAATAAGTTAAATAAGCTTGTGCTTCATAATACTCCTTTTTGGACATATAAGTTATTTATAATTATTATTGGGCGGGGTGGGGGAGGGGGTTCCTTTTGTTTTGCTTTGTTTGTTTGTGTCTCTTTTTCTCTGTTTTTGTTATACTGTTAACATGTTAAAATAAAAATACAATATAAACAAAAAGATTTTAAGAATTAGGTTTTAATACGAAGCCACACACAGAATCTCAAACACACATTGTTCTTCAAACATATTTATTTGACAAATCAGAATCATTCATATAAGCTTAGACTTATCAGTAGATGACATCAAATGTCATAAAATTAATTCAAACAAATCTGACAAGGTTGGTTACAAATAGGTAAGTTTGTAACTATAAAAAATATATTTTTTGTACGAGGTGTAAGAAAATATATATTTATAGTGACTTATACGTAATGATACATTGTACATATTGTTCTATTTCTTACTTCTTGTATTGTCTGTCTTTGTTACTTTTTGTACGGGAGCACTGTAACCAACATAATTTCCCCTACACATCAATAAATTAGGTTCTGATTTACACACACACACACATATATATATATATATATATAAGAAATATTTTTTATAAAAATATTTGTAGCACATCACAGCTTGATTTATCACTACTGTTTCAAAACTCATTCTTCTTAACTAAGATTTCTTTCTTTCTTTGTACTGTCAACACAAAGGTCAAAGCTAATCAGGGAAAATTAACACCAGAGATATTGGTCTATAGGTTTGCGTCATCTAATATTTTTTTATTCTCTTTTAA